ATTTACTGTGCAGAGCAGAAAGGATCCCAGCCTTACCCTCTAGCCTGTGGTGCCCTGAGTATGTCGAGCAGGGGAGCTTCTCATTCAGAGCTGGTACCTGTGAGTGCTGAGAAGGACATGTCTTCTCTTCACACCCCCATCAGGCAGAAAGATCCCGCACCTCTCTCCGCCCAGCAACTGCAGCAACATCCTACGCCAAGAGCCAACACAGAGCTGTGCAGTGGTTAAAACTCAGCTCTGGGCAGTCCCGTGGGTAATGTCAGCCCCTAGTGGATACATGAACCACTGAATGTAAAAAGGCTGGGGACCAGCCTGTCTGGGATGCTGGGCTATTTATATATCTGTAAGAGTTAGCAGCAATTTGGGGCACTTTCCAAGGGGAGAGGAGATCTCTTGGGCTCTGGGCTGAGTCAGGAAGCAATTGATTGCTCTAAGCATTTGTGTGTACTTAGAAATTATAGTTGATTAATAAGAAAACTATGGAGAATGTCCATGTCTCTGTCTCTTTTGGGGCTGTCACTAAAGGATCAATAACTCTCATCAATAACTTTCATCGCGTTGTGCAGCATCTTTCCCTGAAGGGCACTGAAATGACCTTGTGAAGGAAAGTCACTGTGAACAGAAACCCATCAAGCAGCTAAGCAGGGAGACATGAACTGGCGAGACAGATTGGGGGGCAGGATGAGAGAGAGACAACCAGGAGTCCTGGCTTTCCTGCAGTACCCACAATCCCTCCATGGCAGGGGCTAGTCATTGCGTGAAGGCAGAGGAAAGGATGGAAGAGGAAGGCTGAGCCTTCGCCATCCTCTCCTGGGGAATCTGAGCATTTCAGAACCAGCTGGCGTGTGTGAGCTCCCCGCTCTTGGGAGGTGAACTCTGAGGTTCCACTTCTGCTGCTACTAGCCTAGTCTACACTAAAGGGGAAAGTCAACCTACAATGGTCACACCAGCTACGTGAATTACACAGCTGGAGTCAAAGTACCTACAGTCGATTTTTGGCCCGTCCACACAGCTGGAGGTTGACGGGAGCCCACGATCTCATGAACTTCCCTTACTCCTTGTGAGGAGTAGCACTGCCGGCACCAACGGGGGAGCCCTCAAAGCTCCAATAAACCCGTCCTCACCTCACTCACTAATTCAGCCCCTAAAAATCAACTGCAGCAGCGTTGACCTTCTCCATAGGGTAGACAAGCCCAAAGGGAAACCTGCCAGCACATCCCAGTCACTGAGGTGCCTCTGGGGGAACAGACTCAGTTACACAAACAGGGTGCTCCCGTGAAAGGGGTGGAGACAGGGACCTGTCCTGTACTGAGAGACCTCCAACAAGGAGGGCCCCATAAGAACACAGACTGGATTAATGTTTACATTGGATTTATTCTCTTTCTTGGTTCATTCCCTCCCAGTCTCTCCCAGGTGGAATTAAAAGCTGACGTTCCAGGCTGAGTCAGACTTTCCAGGACTACTCCAGCTGGAGGACACTTGGATTACCAGGTCTGGACTCTGCCTACTCATCTCACCAATCTGGGGTATTTCTCTGGTGCAGAAGAACCAGGGTGTTTAAGCCCTGGAATAAGACCGAATGAATTTTCTTGTCCAAGCCAAACAGGGGGGTCATGTCCCCACATACTTGGGTTCCTAACACTCTGTAGCTGCTAAACATGGTGTGATCTTCATCTGTATCTAAAGGCTAGGAGGGTTAGACCCTGATTTAGCTGGGTCATGTTGTTTATTTATGATCATTATTTGCATTGTGGAACCCGCCAGAGATTCTGCTCCAGTTCCAGGCCCACATGGAAGGTGAAACAGGCCCTGCCCCAAAGATCTTATAAGCAAATTAAGACAAAACACAGCTACTGTGTGAACCAACCCACAGAAGGATTAGGGGAGGGACAAGGGAGTAACAGCACTAAGGACAAAAGGGGCTGTTTACAGGTGATTCCCCAGACATTGAGGGAAACACCCTTGATGGCTTCCATGTGCACATCAAAACCCATACAGCATCCCAAACTCCATCTCTCTAACTGGACACGGAAGAATGATGCAGACAGAGAAATAAACTGCACCGATGCAGCAGGTTGGGACACTGATATCGACAGGTTACATGGGGCATTTTGTCCAAAGTACCTTTGAGTTAAGCATAGTTGTGCCCGTGCATCTATTTCATAAACCTGGGGGGGGTGCTGTCATCATGGCCCCCAGCTCACTTCATCCCCTGATCAGTCTCGTGGCTGAGAGCGCTCCCCAGAGGGCCCGGGGATGGCTCAGGTCACCAGTGAATCCCTCTCGGAGCTCTCTTCCTGCCCCGTCTCTCTGTCAGGGCCTCCCACTCAGGGCTGGAGAGCAGCCCCCTCCCCACCTGTAGCAGGAGGGAAGCAAGGAAAAGGGAGACCCCACTGTGGAGTGTTGACCACCTCGTGCCATTGCTCTGGTCTTGCTCCTCTGGGGTGTGTTATATGCCAGGAGGCTATAGGTGTGTGGTGAGCTGTGCAGCTGCAGCTGTTCCTGTACCCTGGTCTCTGCTGGGCATCCACTCAGGGGAAAGAAATAGCTCAGTGGTTTGAGCATTAGCCTGCTAAACCCAGAGTTGTGAGTTCAATCCTTGCAGAGGTTATTTAGGGATTTGGGGCAAAAATTTGCCAGGGGTGGTACTTGGTCTTGCTGTGAAGGCAGCAGGCTGGACTCAATGACCTTTCAAGGTCCCTTCTAGTTCTAGGAGATAGGCAATCTCTGTTATTATAGTTGCTTTAGCTCCTTTTGGAACTGGAATGTGGGCGAGGCTGACTCTGGGCTGTCCTTGCTGAAATTCCTTAGGCTGAACTCCGGGTCTCCAGACACTTTTTCAGATAAAGACTTGAGAATTGCTCAGCGTTCACCTCTGAATTCTTCTGAAAAAAATGGCAGTTAGTCATAACATATTACTTCATTTATATATTTCATTACAATACTAAGACAATGGAAACTTCTACCCAGTTAGGGTTCGATACCTACAGCACAGAGGTGGGGAACCTTTTTGGAACTGAAAAAATGAGTCAAAGTTCATCTGTAGGACAAACAAACAACATGAGGTGCCAACCTTGTTTTGTCCAGATCAACTGAGGATGCCTTAAAAAGACTGGGACTTCTCAGCTTAGAAAAAGGGAGACTAAGTGGAACATATGTTAGAGGTCTCTAAAATCATGATGTGTATGGAGAAAGTGAATAAGAAAAAAATATTTACCTGTTCCCGTGACAGGAGAACTACGGGTCACCAAAATGAAATTAGTAGGAAGCAGGTTTAAAACAAAAGGACGTTTTTCTTCACACAGCGCAGTGTGAACCTGTGGAACTCCTTGGCAATGGATATTGTGAAGACCAGGATTTTAACAAGGTTCAAAACACAGCTAGGTAATTTCATGGAGGATAGGTAGGAATGGTGTCCATAGCCATTTGCTTGTCAGAGGCTGGGAATGGGTGACAAGGGAGGAGTTACATGAGGATTACCTGTTGCATTCAATCCCTGTGAGGCATCTGGCATTGGCTGCTGTCATAAGACAGGACACTGGGCTAGACGGACCTTTGGTCTGACCCAGTACGGCCATTCATATGAATCAGGTAATCCATAAACCTGTGTGGTGCTGGGTCAGTGTATTATGCAGTGGCACTTAGTCCACTTAGAGAGAAGAATGAATTTGTTCTACAGCCTTAGTTGGGAGCCAACTGGCTTTATAGCTCAAGCTAAGCTCTAGAGGTCCCATTTGTAGCCACCTGCAGGTGGAACTGAACCTGTGACCTCTGGCTTTAGAGATCATTCATTGTTATTGCACTTTCTGTAAGTAGTGTGAGTGCCACTTGTCAGCCAATGGTCAGGGGAGAGAGTGTGTGTGTGTGTTACACCTGAGTCTTCAACTGCTGAGACACAAGGCCCCATCGCAGTGGGCAGTCTAGGTGAGACTGACGGGTGCTCCGAGAAGTTTAACATCTGTGTCTTTACTGCTAGGATCGGGATCCCTTCACGGCGGGCAGCCAGCAGGCCAACAGACGTCCCAGAGTTTACAGGGATAGCCTATTACACCTCAGATTTTGACTGCTAGGATACACGATCCCTTCACAGCAGACAGCCTGGGGGAGGCTGAGAGATGCCCCACGGATCTTTCCCCTGGAAGTGACATGATCCAACACTCAAGCTCTCCCTATATCTGTCCCTTATGACCGGCTGGATGGAGTTCCTTTTAAAATTGTGCTTGGTTCTGTTACAGCAACTGAAGTAGTCAGGTCACAGCTTAAACAGTTACTATTTTATTGTTACAGGGTAAACTTAGCTGTTAAATGCTACAGCTGTGTTACAGATAACACAGCCACTACAAAGGACAGGATAGAAATTACACTAATAAGTCACTTACAGGTACCATGAAACCCTTTTGGTTCTGTGAGCTCTTATTAAATGCATGCAAAATAGACACCTAACCTCCATAAATCTATCTAGCTCTTTTTTAACCCTGTTAAAGTCCTAGTCTTCACCTTCACCACATCCTCTGGCAAGCAGTTCCATGACCAAGAGCTGGTGTGTAGCCACTTTCCATTGGAGAAGTGATGCCCTGGGTCCCACATTCCTATTGGTCAGGTGAGGCAAGCGTGGAGGCCTTTGCAAGTTGCCACCTCACAGTGCAAGAGGCAACCCCATTAGGTGTGACACAGGGCCCAGCTGGACCTCAGTTCCAGGTGGCATCTTGGAAGGACCCACCACAGAGATGATCCAAGCGGTGATGGGGGGCAAAGGAGGAGCAAGAAACCAGTGTGGGTTAAAGGACAAGACATGGAAGTGGCTCGGGGCTCAAAGCCTCCAGTGTCCAGTTACAATTAGGAAGTTGGCAACCCTTTGAGTTGTGCACCGATGGATTCTCCGGTGTGTCAGGCAGAGAGAACATAGTAAAGTCAGCAAAGACTTTACCCTTTCTTTGATTGACCAGTCAGTGTTTCAGGAAATAGTACCACTCCAGGGAGATCTGTCTGAAAATTTCCACTTAGGATAAAATGTCAGTCCCTTTAGGTGTAAAGAATTGGAGTAGCCTGTCCCGGATCTGTTTGGTTCTCACGCCGTAGATGATGGGGTTCAGCATGGGGGGAACCAGGAGGTAGATGTTGGCAAGGAGAATGTGGAAGTGAGGGGGCATATTGCTGCCTAAACGGGATACCAGGGAGCCAAACAGAGTTGGAATGTAAAAGGCTAATATGACACAGATATGTGAACCGCAAGTCCCAAAAGTCTTGAGCCGGGCATCCTTTGTGGGGAGGCTGAAGATGGCCCTAAGTATCTGGATATAGGACAGAATGATGAAAACCACATCCAGACTGATCCTACAGGATAGCACGAAGATGCCGTAGTAACTACTGATGCGGGTGTCGCCGCAGGCCAGCTTCACCACACCCAAGTTTTCACATTGAGTGTGGGCGATGATATTGGTTCTGCAATATTGCCACTGCCTCGCCAGGATGGGACAGGGCAGGATGAGAATGCTGCCACGCAACACAATGACCAGGCCAATCTTCATCACCAGGGAGTTTGTCAGGATGGTGGAATGTCTCAGGGGATGGCAGATGGCCACATAGCGATCAAAAGCCATGGCTGCCAATATCCCAGACTCGATCTCTGTGAAGCAGTGAATGAAGAACATCTGGGTGAGGCAGGCACTGAAATCGATCTCTCTGGAATTGAACCAGAAATTTGCTAGAATTTTGGGCAGAGTGGTTGTGGACAGCACCAGGTCAGTGACGGCCAACATGCAGAGGAAATAGTACACGGGCTCATGGAGACTGGCCTCCCTCTTCACAATAAATAGGATGGCAAAGTTTCCCAAGATGACTATGGAGTACATGGTGCAGAAGGGGATGGAGATCCAGGCATGAGCTGCCTCCAGTCCAGGGATCCCCTGCAGGATGAAGGTGGAGGGGTTGGTGAAGGCAGTTTTGTTGGAATCTGACATGGAGTGGTGGAGAAGTGATTCAACTCTGAGGCAGAATGTCGTGTCTTCCTTAAACTCGATGCTCCATGGAGTTTTTTCATGTACCTGGGGTCTAGGGAGGTGGTGACAGGGAAATTGCCTGGATGGAGACACAATGTGAATATGAGACACCACATACACTACTGGAAGTTGTTGTTAGGGAGAAAGAGATTGTATTTTCGTCACACAGTGAAAATGTCATTTTTTCAGTATCTGGAGGCAAGGATTATGAACAACAGAGTCCTTTAATTCTGTGTTTGATGTTGCTCCAGGTATGAATATTTTCTATATGTTATGGCACGTGAAAGTTTAATAGGCACCTGTAGAAAATACATGCCAAGGAAAAGACCTGGTGATAACTGAGAGCAACACCATGTAAACGGCAGCTCATTCATGGCACTGGCCACAACAAAGACCATGTTCGGATGTCTAAGGAAGGGGTTGGAAAACTAGCTGCTCCGGACATGTGCTCAGTGTTACTCATCTAGTCTGTGTAAGGAAATAGCAGGTAGAACTGGAATTCGGAGGCAGGCGATGCAAACAGGGAAGAATAATATACAACCATACTGGGATATCTGGGGCCGATAGAGGAGAGGAAAGTAAAAAACAGAAGTCGCTATATTACATTCAAATGGAGAAACCAAGAAGAGTTCCCAGTCACTGCTATGTCTAATGAGTGATTGCTCCAAAGGGCTAACTCCTCAAAGCTGTGTCAAATCATCAGCAAAACCATTTGGGAGGAACTTTTTGCCTAACTTCATTGGAATGAACATCGCGGTTTTTTGAACAATGGTTTTATTAGATAACAAACATGTTTGAGTCCATGGTGAAGAGTGTAGACAAGCTGGATAAAAACCCTGTTCAGTGGCTAATCAAGGCAGCACTTAAAGGAGAAAATGCACTGTATAATACACCGGAGAAAAGAAAAATAGATGGAAAGCAATACGAACTGAAAATTTTTGAAAAATGGTGAGGGGTGTTAGAGACATCAGGGAAAACCCTTAGTAGGGCTAAGGATCAGAAAAGGAGGGTATTAAGAATATCTGGGATAAAGCAGATACCTTGGAAAATATTTTGACCTTTTTGAAAGGGTGAAAGGAAAATTGTTCCCATTGGAGAAAAAAGACCACATGTTCTAGAAATGGTTTTGTTTTGAGCTGCTGTTCAGATGGTGTTGCTATCAGTTATCACCAGGTCTTTTCCTTGGCATGTATTTTCTACAGGTGCCTATTTAACAAAATGGTTTTTGTTTGGAAAGAAACACGATGTCCTCAAAAAGCATCTCAGTAGAATGTTATAGGTATGAACACCAGCGTTACGAACTGACAGATCAACCACACATCTCCTTCGGGGCCAGAAGAGGGCAAACAGGCAGCAAGCAGCAGATACTTCTCCCCTCCTGCCCCTTTAGAAAGGAGGCCAATTCAGGACAGGTTCTGTTAAATGTAAATTATTTTAAAAATCAAGGGAAAGTTCAAAATAAAAATGGTTGACAAGATTAGGAAAGGCTGGGAAGGCTGGTTTGGGATTTTTTTTTTTAAGATCGGGAATATAATGAATGTTGTTCAGCAATATGGTTTACGTAACCCTGGTCAGATCAAAGAAACAGCTGCATCCTTTTACAAGAGTACAGCTTTGGTTGATCAAGAGAACGGTAGAGATATAATAAGCCTTCATAGAATCATAGAATCATAGGACTGGAAGGGACCTCAAGAGGTCATCGAGTCCAGCCCCCCGCCCTCAAGGCAGGATCAAGCTCCGTCTACACCATCCCTGACAGATGTCTATCTAACCTGTTCTTAAATATCTCCAGAGAGGGAGATTCCACCACCTCCCTTGGCAATTTATTCCAATATTTGACCACCCTGACAGTTAGGAATTTTTTCCTAATGTCCAATCTAAACCTCCCCTGCTGCACTTTAAGCCCATTACTCCATGTCCTGTCCTCAGAAACCAAGAGGAACAAATTTTCACCTTCCTCCTTGTGACACCCTTTTAGATATTTGAAAACCACTATCATGTCCCCCCTTAATCTTCTTTTTTCCAAACTAAACAAGCCCAGTTCATGAAGCCTGGCTTCATAGGCTTCTCTAGACCTTTAATCATTCTTGTCGCTCTTCTGACAGATTTCAAGAAATGGGGCTGTTTCAAGTAGGGTTCGGTAGGAATCAGGCCTAGGCCTGATGCTGTTCAATATTTTAATCAATGTTCTAGAAACAAACAGAAAACCAGGGCGGATACAATTCTCACAATGTTAGTGTTCAAATTGCAGAGTGCTTACAGGGAGGAATCCAGGTATATTGGATACACAGGTAGGAGCGCTGTGTGCAGATTTAGTGAGGAAAGGATTGGGGATACATTGGAGAGAGTCCAGCAGATGGCAACCAAAATGATGAGGGGACTGGAGCACATGACTTACACGGAGAGGCTGAGGGATTTGGGTTTGTTTAGTCTGCAGAAGAGAAGAGTGAGGGGGGATTTGAGAGCAGCCTTCAACTTCCTGAAGGGGGGTTCCAAAGAGGATCGGGAGAGGATGTTCTCAGTGGTGGTGGATGACAAACAAGGAGGAATTGTCTCAAGATTGCAGCAGGGGAGGTCTAGGTTGGATGTTAGTAAAAAGTAGGAGGGAGGAGAAGCACTGGGATTGGTTACCTAGGGAAGGGCTGGAATCTCCATCCCTAAAGGTATTTGTTTCCTGGCTTGACAAAGCCCTGGCTGGGATGATTGAGTTGGGGTTGCTCCTGCTTTAAGCAGGGGGCTGGAGTCAATGACTCCAGAGGTCTCTTCCAGCCCTGGGATACTAAACACCTGAAGGATGCCCTGTGCCACTGAAATGCTGACACCTTGCAGCTCTCGATAATCATCCAGAATGGGCAGGGATGCCCAGAAAAGAGTCACATTTTGCCTAGTGATATTGGCAAGAGCTCTAGGCTGTTTCCTATGTGTTCAGAGCAGAAAGGATCCCAGACTTACCCTCTGTCCTGCAGTGCCCTGGGTATGTCGTGCAGGTGAGCTCCTCAGCTCGAGCTGGGTACCTGTGAGTTCTGAGATGGTTTCCCTCGGAGCCTCCCTCAGGCAACCATGTCCCACACCTCTCTCAGCCCAGCATCTGCAGCAGCATCCCACACCGAGAGCCGACACAGGGCATAATAATATAGCTCTGGGCAATCCCAATGGGTTCACTCAACCCCTAGGGGTTCGTTAGCATCTGCATGGAAAAAGGCTGGAGACCAGCCTGTCTGGGATTCTGGGCTAGTTATCCAGCTTTAGGAATAAACAGCAATTAAGGGACCTTCCCAAGAGGAGAGGAGAACTTGTTGGCTCTGGGCTGAGTCATGGAGGAGTCGGCTACTCTGAGGATTTGTGTGAACTGAGAAATTATAGTTGATTAATAAGAAAACTATGGAGAATGTCCATGTCTATGTCTCTTTAGGGGCTGTCACCCAGGGGTCAGAGATCAATAATTCTCATCAATAACTTCCAACACGTTCTGCAGCAACTTTCCCTGAAGGGCATTGAGAAGACCTTGCAAAGAAAAGTCACTGTGAACAGAAACCCATAATACAGCTCAGCAGCGACATGAATTGGCCAGGCAGATGGAGGGGCAGGATGAAAGAGAGACAACCAGGAGTCCTGACTTCCCTGCAGTACCCACGATCCCTCCATAGCAGGGCCTAGTCATTGGGTGGAAGCAGAGGAAAGGCTGGAAGAGGGAGGTTGAGCCTCCACCATCCTCTCCAGGGGAATCTGAGCATTTCAGAACCATCTGGCGTGTGTGAGCTCCCCGCTCATGGGAGGTGAACTCAGACTCCACGTCTGCTCCCCCCGGCCTGGTGTAAAGAGGAAAGTCCACCTAAGATGATCACACCAGCTACATGAATTACACAGCTGGAATCAAAGTACCCACAATAGGTTTTTTATGCCATCCGCACAGGTGGAGGTTGACGGGAGCCCACGATCTCATCACCTTCCCTTAATCCTTGTGAGGAGCAGCACTGCCGGCACCAACAGGGGACTCCTCTAAGTTCCAATTAGGTTGAAAGTAGGAATAAGGACTCTTCCGGAAAAGGGTTTATTTTCCGCAAGATCCCGTCTAGACTGGCGCTTTTCTCCGGCAAAACCCCGAGCCGGAAAAAAGCGGCAGCCATGTTCATGCAAATGTCGCGGGGGATATTTAAATCCCCCATGGCATTTGCAATTCCGACTGGTCTCATTAGCATCCCTTTTCCGGAAAGGGGTGCCAATGTAGACACAGCCTATCTCTCTACCTTGACACAGAAGAATGATACAGACACCGAAACAAGCTACACAGATGCAGCAGGTTGAGACACTAATATCGACAGGTTACATGGGGTGGTTTGTCCAAAGTACCTTTGAATTAGGCATATTTCTGCCCATACGTCAATTTCATAAACCTGGGGGGTGGGGGCGGGTGCTGATATCGTAGCCCCCACCTCATGTAATCACTTGATCAGTCTCGTGACTGAGAGTTCTCCCCCTATGGCCGAGGGATGGTTCTAATCACCAGTGGATCCCTCTCTTGCTCTCTTTCGGTCCCATCTCTTGGTCAGGAACACCCACTCTGAGAGCTGAACAACAGCCCCCTCCTCACCTGTAGCAGAAGGGAAGCAAGGAAAAGGTAGATCACAATGTGGCGTGTTGACCACCTACTGCCATTGTCTCACCTCAAGCTGGCATTCATAGAATCATAGAATCATAGAACTGGAAGAGACCTCAGAAGGTCAAGTCCAGCCCCCTGCTCTAGGCAGGACCAGTTCCAACTAAATCACCCCGGCCAGGGCTTTGTCAAGCCGAGACTTAAACACCTCTAGGGATGGAGACGCCACTACTTCCCTAGGGAACCCATTCCAGTGCTTCAACACCCTCCTAGTGAAATAGTTTTTCCTAATATCCAACCGGGACCTCTCCCACCACAACTTGAGACCATTGCTCCTTGTTCTGCCATCTGTCACTCCCAAGAT